TTCAGGACACAGAGGGTCATTTTCTGCCCCTGCTACAGTCTTCCTGCATGACCCTGGGTGAGTCACTTAGGACCTGCTCTGAAGACCATAGGTGGCTCTGCCTCACTTGGGGATAATAGAACTGACCCCAGTCCCAGTGTGCTGAGAGGGTCTCAGCCAACAGTGATGAGGACATCTCAATTTGGAGGGAGAAGGGGGGGAAAACTCCTCTCAGTTAAACTTTCCACAGGCCTGCCCCTGGGCCAGAGGACCAGGAGAGCTTCTCCTGGGCACACGAATCATCCCAGGAGACCTCCCGCTGGCAGAAGGAGGAACAAACTTTGGCCGCGCTGCAAGCCGGGACGTGTCAGCGACACTGGAAGGGGAAGCTGTGGGGGGCACACGCCTCACAGATGATGTTTACTTTTCAGGGCATGTTTAAACCCATGCAACATTCCCAGCTAGAACACCCTCCTGCCAGACAAGTCACGGCTTTAAACTTGGGGGCTGCTCTAGTCCGTGGCAGGGGAGTGCCCGTTACTCATGGGCAGAACATGCTTGTTCACAGCCATGTTTACTCCAGGTTGGTTTTGTCCTGGATCAGAGCCCCAGAGGCCATGCTCACACCCAGAAGGTCAACTGGGGAGGAAGACGAGGCTCTGTGGTTGGGGAAGGCCCGGCAATATAAATGAATCACTTGAAAATCCCCACCAGGCCTGCACAAGGAGGTGGGGAGAAATTTCCCAGCAGCGAAATGAACGAGCAAAGTTCCCAGAACCAGGGAGGGGCTGGGAGGGAGGATTAGCGAGCTCTTGACAGTGCACCACTGCAACTGTCTCCCAGCCAGGCCCGTTACCTGCTGGGCCACTCAATTTGCCATTGTTCCCGCAGTGTCACACTATATTACCAGCATAATGTGGAATGTTTCCGCCGTCCAACATCCCCGCAGCACAGAGAACTGGCATTCCCCGAGAGCCCCGCGTAGCAACGGGACAGTGTCCCCGGCCGGCTGTCCCCTCCACTCCCGCCAGCCAGCTGGGAAAGCCCTATTGATTGCACTCCCCACCCCCCACCCCAGATGAGAATGGCGAAAGGGCGTGTGAATGGCGCAGCAATTTGAAACAACTGCAGGGCTGGCCTGTATCACTTACCGGCCTCACAGTAGGGGAGGAAGCTTAGCTCTTTCTCAGCAGCATAAGCTTATTTTGCTCTCTCGCTCCCTCTCTCTTTTCTTGCCCCCCCTTAAGTCTCTTGAGCTGATATTGAGATGCCCCCTGATCCCATCCCATACACCTCTGTTTAGATGCAAATGACTGCGAGTGGCAAGGCTGAGAAAAGCTACAGGGTTATCTTGGTGCTGTGGGCTTTTCTGCAGCTTGTGTTGTGGGCTCTGGCCTCTCGCCACTCAGCCAGCAGCACCAAGACATGGCTGTACCTGGCTAGAGTGCCCTTCCACTGGCATCGCCTGCTGCTGCTAGCGTGGGGCTGGGGGCTGCCTGGGGTAAGTGGGACCCTCGTCCAGGGGAATCTGTGTGTGCACAGAGGGGGCAGCAACAAACCAGCCCCCAACGAAGAAGTGGCTGGTGGAAGAGCAGCCCGAGTTTCCACATAGGACAGCATAGGTGCTGGGGTGCTGAGCCTTTGTGAAAGTCTGACCCACAGAGTGTCAAATTCTGAAGGCTGGGGCCCAAAGACAGTGGGAGAGGCTGTCCGCAATCTACCAACTGGTTCTAAGCAATCCTTTGGCCTTCCCTGGCACTGGCGTATCTTAGGGTACATCTAGACTAAATGCCTCTGGCGACAGGCACGTAGATTAGACTACCCGGCATAGGAAAATGAAGCGGCGAATTAAATAATCGCCGCTTCATTTAAATTTACATGGCTGCCGCGCTGAGCCGATCAGCTGTTTGTCGGCTCAGCGCGGTAGTCTGGACGCTCCGCGGTAGACATCAAAGGCATTTGTCGACCTCCCAGGTAAGCCTCATCCCAAGATGATGCATATGGGATCGGCTCAGCGCGGCAGCCATGTAAATTTAAATGAAGCGGCGATTATTTAATTCGTCGCTTCATTTTCCTATGCTGGGTAGTCTAATCTACGTGCCTGTCACCGGGGGCATGTAGTCTAGAAGTAGCCCTAGAGGCATAGAATCCTAGAACACTAGAACTAGAAGAGTCCTTGAGAGGTCATCAAGTCCAGTCCCCTGCCCTCATAGCAGGACCAAGCACCAACAAGACCATCCCTGACAGGTGTGTTAGTCCAACCTGCTCTTAAATATCTCCCTGGGCAATTTATTCCAGTGTTTAACCACCCTGACAGGCAGGAAGTTTTTCCTAATGTCCAACCTAAACCTCCCTGGCTATAGTTTAAGCCCATTGCTTCTTGTCCTGTCCTCAGAGGCCGAGGAGAACAATTTTTCTCCCCCCTCCTTGAGACACCCTTTTAGATGTCTGAAGACTGCTATCATGTTCCCCCTGTCTTCTCCTTTCCAAACTAAAAAAGCCGAATTCTTTCAGTCCTCTCTCATAGCTCATGTTCTCAAGACCTTTAATCATTCTTGTTGCTTTTCTCTGGCTCTTCTTCAATTTCTCCACATCTTTCTTGAAATGTGGTGCCCAAAACTGGACACAATACTCCAGTTGAGGCCTAATCAGTGCAGAGTAGAGCGGAAGAATGGCTTCTTGTGTCTTGCTCACAACACTCCTATTAATGTGTCCCAGAATGATGTTTGCTTTTTTTGCAACAGTGTCACCCTGTTGGCTCATATTTAGCTTGCAGTCCATTATAACCCTTAGATCCCTTTCTGCAGTACTCCTTCCTAGACAGTTGCTTCCCGTTCTGTATGTGTGAGACTGATTGTTCCTTCCTAAGTGGAGCACTTTGCACTTGTCCGTATTGAACTTCATCTCAGTTACCTGTGACCATTTCTCCAATTTGTCCAGATCATTTTGAATTATGACCCTATCCTCCAAAGCACTTGCAACCCTTCCCAGCTTGGGATCATCTGCAGACTTAATAAGCGTACTCTCTATGCCAGGGGTGTCCAAACTTTTTTCAAAGAGGGCCAGATTTGATGAAGTGAACATGCGTGAGGGCCGACCATTTTGCCTGACATTCTTTGAACCATTAAAATTAAATGCAAATTAACTATTTTATGCAAAGTTTATTGCAAACGGAATACTTTTCATTTCGTCACATGGATGACAAATCTAAACAGGTGTTAAATCACTCTGCCTTTCATATCTGAAGGCCAGATGAAAAAAAAAATCCAGGAAGCTGAAATATATGTCAGGAACATTGTAAAGTACATTACATATTATTGGTAATAAAGGTTGTCTGTCAACTTTTAAGTTCAAAAAATATGAACAGGAACATAACACCAAGTATACATGTTGTGTCCAAATATATTTATAACTGATTTAGACCAACTGACTTTAACTGAGATTTTACAATGTATTCATCTCAATACATATGGATTCGTTGGGGGCCATAAAAGATAGATATTGCCAAATTACCCGTGGGGCCATATTAAACCGGAACACAGGCCGCAATTGGCCCGCGGGCCGGACTTTGGACATGCCTGTCCTAGTTAGTTCATCATAGAAGTGGGCTCCATTCTCCCCCTTGTGCCTTACTTCTATCTAACAATGGAGGGAAAGGAAGAAAAGAGAGAACAGGTGAGAGATGCAGTTTTAACAGTAAGCAATGGGAGCTGTTTAGTTTGGAACCATAAAAATACTTTAAACCAACTTTTGTTTGAATTCCCACAGCAATTCCTCCGCTCAGCAGTAGTTTGTTAAAACTTTTGTGGGACAACAAACCACCTATACAAACTTTTTTGCAGTGCTTCTATTGTTCTGTCACAGAAGTAGTGAACCTTTGTGGGTTGGGGGCCACTGACCCACAGAAAAATCAGTCTGGGGCCACACAAAAGAAAGACGCAAAAAAAAAAAAGTCTTAATTGGCATGGCCCCAACTGAGAAGCAGAAAAAAAGAAACTCCCCTCATTCCCAGGCTAGTAAATTTTGTGAGCACCCCTAGGCTCTCAGGTGGAGCCAAAAATGAGGGGTTCAGTATGTGGGAGGGCACTGCTTGGGATGTGGGCGACCCGAAGCGGCGCGCTGAGCGCGCCGGTTAAAAAAAGCACCGGGGAGCCGGGAGAAGCGGGGGGCCGTATTAAATCCGACCGCGGGCCGCATTTGGCCCGCGGGCCGGACTTTGGACATGCCTGCTCTATGCCAATATCTAAATTGTTGATGAAGATATTGGACAGAACCGGTCCCAAAATGGACCTCTGCAGAGCCCCAGTTATTATACCCTTCCAGCATGATTGTGAACCATTAATAACTACTCTCTGAGAACAGTTATCCAGCCAGTTATGCATCCACCTTATAGTAGCCCCACGTAAGTTGTATTTGCTCTAGTTTATTGATAAGAAGATCATGTGAGACCGTATCAAATGCCTTATTAAAGTCTAGGTATACCACATCCACCGCTTCTCCCTTATCCACAAGACCTGTTATCCTATCAAAGAAAGCTATCCGATTGGTTTGACATGATTGAGTGGTGTTTGCTTTTTTTGCAACAGTGTCATATTATTGAATCCTATTTAGCTTATTGTTCACTATGACCCTCTAGTGCAATAATCCTTTCTAGACAGCCACTTCCCATTCTGCATGTGTGAAACTGATTGTTCCTTCCTAAGCGGAGCACTTCACATTTGTCCTTATTGAATTTCATCCTATTGACCTCAGATCATGTTGAATTATGACCATATCCTCCTAAGCACTTGTGACCCCTCCCAACTTCTTCTCTTGGCTCTGCCACTGTCCTGCTGGGTGACTGTGGGCATGTCCCTACTCATCCTGGTGTTTCTATCTCCCCTCCCACCCTTCTTAGCTCCTCGGGCTGGGCTGTCCCTCCTTGGGTTGTGCAGCGTCCAGCACAATGAGGCCTGCTCCTGAAATGTGGGTAAATGGCAGAATGCCCCTCCCCTATCTAAGCAGCAGCGGGGTTCCCTTACCTTTGTCCAGGACTGGCCCGAAGATGGCCAGGCTGTCGTCAATGGTGGTGCAATTCCAGCGCCGGCCTCGGAACTGATGCTGACATTCCTGGATGCCCAGCTTGACTCCCTCGGCCACGCTGGGCATGATCTCGATGTAATTCCGGCAGAAGCGGAGCTGCTTGGGGACCAGGCCAGGGATGGAGCCGCACAGGATGGGCTGGGACCCCAGCGAGGTGTATTGCTGGCCTAACGCGAGGGACCTGGGAGGGGAAAAACAGAACTCGTATTTGTGCCACCCCCACAGGGAGACAGCCAGAAGGACTCTCCCTCCCCTGCCCAGAAAGGGAAGTGCCAGGGCTTCTCAAACCTTTCACTGAACTCGTGCCTTTCAGAGAAGTGGCAACAGAGACAGGTGTCCTGGGTCATAGCTCTGCTCTGGGAGAGGCTGGGATTCCCAGGCTGACAGAGGCCAGGGTAGGGATTCAGCCCCAGCTGTGAAGTGGTCACATGTATTGGTAGAAAGGAACATGGGTCAGTGCTAAGCGCTCTCCTCCCCAGCTCTGTGATCCTTCCCCTGCCTTGTCTAGATTGACCATAAGTTTTGACCCAGACAGCGTCTTACAAGGCGCCTAGTGTTGTGTATTGGGTAGTCGATATATAACTACTCAAGATCTAGTAACCGAGTTAGGTTATTAGGGGTCAGAGCAGCCAGTTCTGGCTGGTTCTAGTTAGTTCTGTGTTATGTAATAAATGGGAAGCTTGCAACTGCTTCAACTCTGTTTCAAGTGATTTATTTCTAAACTGTATAGCTCCAAACAATATAACAAAGTGGCGACAAGGGTGGGATACCTGTGCTGCCTCCAGCAACAGAAGAATTAAAAGTCAAAGAAAGAAAACAAACCATTTTGCTGTTCTGGAAGGTGGGGGTGAGAACTGACACTGAAACTAAACAACCTGAAACTAAAATCAGTGAAGCCAGAGGCTGGGAGGAAAGGAAGGGAGGAGGTGCAGCAGCATGGCTCCACTTCCAGGGCTGCTGGGGCCTTTTGAGGAGACTATAGGGCAATGGCATGTATTTATTGAGCATTTTGAGCTTTTTGTCATTACGAATGACATTAAGGCAGAGAAGAAGGTGTCAATATTTTTAAGTGTTGTAGGGGCTAAGACATACTCTCTGCTATGCAATTTGCTGCTTTCCTGTTAAGCCAGAGACCTAATCTTACAGTGACATTGTGGAAATCCTGGGGTCACATTATGCTCCAAAACCATTGGTAATTGCAGAAATGTCTAGGTTGCACAAAAGAGACCAAAAAGAAAGCAAACCAGTTGTATAATTTGTGGCAACTTTGAAAAAGCTTGTGAAATACTGTGAATTTCAGGAGACGTTAAATGACGCCATACAGGACAGGTTAGTGTGTGGCCTGCACAGCGTAGCTACACAGACACATCTATTAACAGAGGTCCAGCTCACCCTACAGAAGGCTGATGATATTGTGGTCTCCATGGAACTGTCCACATAGGCGGCGCAGTACCCCAGTGCACCCCCCCTAGGGTGCATATAGTGTCCCAAGAAACAGTTGGGACCCAGGAGTATTATTGCTATGGTGGGCCGGGTCACCATGAATCGGAACTCTGGTGTAAGGACCCAGTGTGGCGAAAAGGGACACATTGAACGTGCCTTCAAACAAAAGAAAAAGAGGTCTGCAGTCTGGCAGACCAAAAAGGAATAGCTGCATGCCCTCCAGCAGACGCAGGATGACCAAGGTGACACCACGTCCAAAGAAGTAATTGCACACGACATTTTGTCTTTGGCAACGGGCCTCCATGAATTCTGAGTAACCTGTTTGTTGGACGGTAAACCTGTGCGCATGGAACTGAACACTGGTACAGCAGTTTCACTGGTCTCAGACACTGTGTCTACAGAAGAGCTAAAGCATCTTCCACTTAAGGCAGCAAAGATCGTTCTGAAGACATATACGGGAGACGCACTATTGGGTACTACTGATGATAAGGTGGAGCTCAATGGACAGACTGCTGAATTGCCACTGTTTGCAGTGAAAGGCCGTTACCCAGCCTTAATGGGGAGATCATGGCTTATGAAGATCCAGCTGAATTGGGCAGAAGTGCACCGGAGGACTGAAGGGCTATGGCTACACTATGCACTTTGCCAGAAGCGGCAATGCAAATGAAGCATGAATTAGCATTTTCTTGTGCTTCATTTGCATAATCTCTTCTGGTCCATTTTTGCGCAAGAGGTTTTTGCTCAAAATTGAGCAGTGTGCAAGTTTTCTTTTTGTGCAAAAACCCTTTTTTGCACAAGAGCTTTATGCCTTCCGTAGCAAAGAAGAAACAGGTCTGATTGATGGATTAAAGAAACATGCTGCTGTTTTTGTGGAGGATCTGTGAAGTATGAGGGGAATCACCATGGAACTGAACATTAAACGTGGCAGCCAACCAAACTATCTGAAGGCCAGAATGGTGCCATATGCCATCAGGCCAAAAGTAGAAGCGGACCTGGAGCACCTACTCAAAAATAGTCCTAATACCAGTTACCCATTGTCCACGGGCAATTCCAATTGTTCCAATATTGAAGAACGTCAGTTCCATTTGGATTTGCAGAGATTTTAAGGTCACTGTTAACCCCGTGCTGTGTGCAGAGCAATCCCCTCTTCCCGCATCAATGACCTCTTTGCGGGCCTGGCTGGGGGACAAAAGTTCAGCAAGATTGATCTGAGTCAAGCGTATTTCCAGATGCATGTTGATGAGAAGTCCCAAGAGCTATTGACTATTGTGAGGCATAAGGGGCTTTATCGTTACTGTCGCTTACTCTTCGGAGTAACTTCTGCCCCAGCTTTGCTCCAGAGGGCTCTGGACCAGATCTTGTGTGGCTTGCCAGGAGTCCAGTGCTATCTCAACAACTTTCTGGTCACTGGTAGAAATGAGGAGGGTCACCTTAAGAACTTAGAGGCGACCCTACAAAGACTGGAAGAGTATGGCCTATGAGTCCACAAAGACAAGTGTGCATTCTTTCAGGCCTCTGTTGAATATTTGGGACACATCATTGATGCTACCAGCCTTTGGAAGGCCCTTTCAAAAGTTAAGGTTATTGTGGAGGCTCCACCCCCTCAAAATGTTAGTCAACTTCACTCATTTCTAGGACTATTGAACTATTATGGGAAGTTTATTTCACAGCTAACCACACTGCTAAAACTACTTCATGAATTCCTTGGCCAGAACAATACCTGGAAGTGGACTGAAGCTTGTGATGTTGCATTTAACAAGCTAAATGTGCATTGCTAAACTCTGAGATCCTGACACATTTTGATCCATCCTTCCCTTTACAGTTGACTTGCAGTTGCTTTTGCTTCATGCACCTTAAGCAAGGCAGGAACTAACTATGCGCAAATTCAGCATGAAGCATTGGGAATAATTCTCGTGATTCAGAAATTTCATCAATACCTGTTTGGACAGAAGTTTACACTTCTTACTAACCATCAACCTCTGATGGCAATTTTTGGTCCACACACAGGTATTCCACCATTGGCTGCTAGTCATATGCAACAATGGGCATTGTGGCTTTTGGAACACACATATGAGATCAGATATTAGAAATCCACTCTGCATGGCAATGAGGATGGCCTCTCATGGCTGCCTTTGCCAGACAAACATTAAAATAGTGGCTGGAAGGAAATCTACTTTAACAGGTAGAAAACACGCCCATCACTGCTGCACAAGTTAAGAGAGCAATTAATGTTGACCCAGTATTGTCCCCAATCATGGACCTAGTGATGCATGGAACATCTCTACGGGACTTTCAGGTCTCTCCTGACCTTGTTCCCTCCATGTCCAGGAGAACAGAGTTATCGATCCATTCTAGGTGCTTGTTGTGGGGGAATGTGTCATTATTCCAATGCTACTGAGACAACAGGGCTGCTTTTGCAGAAAAACTTGCCAGCTGTCTACACTGGCCGCTTGAATTTCCGCAAGAACACTGATGATCTCATGTAAGATTGTCAGTGTTCTTGCGGAAATGCTATGCTGCTCCCGTTCGGGCAAAAGCCCTCTTGCGCAAATGCTTTTGCGCAAGAGGGCCAGTGTAGACAACGCGGTATTGTTTTGCGCAAAAAAGCCCCGATGGCGAAAATGGCGATTGGGGCTTTCTTCTGCAACCCCGCGTCTAGATTGGCATGGACGCTTTTCCGCAAAAAGTGCTTTTGCAGAAAAGCGTCCATGCCAATCTACATGCTCTTTTCCACAAATACTTTTAACGGAAAAACTTTTCCGTTAAAAGCATTTGCAGAAAATCATGCCAGTCTAGACGTAGCTCAGATGTTAGAACAGCTATATTCAGGTCATCGTGGAACGGTGCACATGAAAGAAATTGCACAAAGCTATTTTTGGTGATGTGACTTGAACAGTGCTATTGAAGAGAAGGCAAGAGCTTGTATTTCACACCAGGGTATGAGGAATGCACCTCAGTTGGCACCTCTATACCCATGGGATTGCCCTGAAAAAACGTGGCAACGTATTCACGTTGATTTTGCTGGCCATTTGAAGGAAGCATGTTCTTGGTGGTGGTAGATGCCCATTCCAAATGGCCAGAAGTCTTTCTCTAGCACTCTCCCACTACTGCTGAGAGTACTATCCAAAAACTCCAGGGACTCTAGTCATTTTGGTCTTCCAGAACAACTTATGAGCAACAACGATCTGCAGTTTGTCTCTTGGGAGTTTGGAAATTTTCTGAAAGCAAATGGGATTCATCACATCACTTTGGCATCCATCCACCAATGGATTAGATGAAACGTTTGTGCAAACAATGAAAAAAGCTTTGAAATTGGCTACAGGACATTCACTCGTTCAAAAGTGTCTAGACACCTTCCTGCTATCCTACAGAAACACACCTCATGCTACAACCAAAACATACCTACTCTTTCTAATGATGGGACGTCAGCCGTGCACTGGCTTTGACTGGCTGAAACCTTCTGGCCCACAACAAATTGAGCAACAGCAGCAGTAAGGTCAAGTCATGAAGTGCATCCAGAGCAAAAGATCGAACCTTTAGTCCTGGACAGCCGGTTTTGGCTCGGAACAATGCTTCTGGAGCTAAATGGGTCCATGCCACTGTCATGGCTCAAACAGGACCTATATCCTACACCAGGCATGTCAAACTGGCATTTGGAGGGCTGCATACAGCCCGATCAAAATTTTTTGTGGCCTGTCAGAACATTTTTATAAAAGAATGAAGTGCAGCCTACTGGCT